TTAGCAATTTACTGTTTCTATGGATTATGTATGTACAGTATCTGCTGCTGCTATTACACCTGAATTTCCCCACGGGGGACAAAAAAGGCTGTTTCTATTCTAGCAGTTAAAACAAACATGGTTTTATGAACAAAGGAAAATAGATCAAACTTTAAGAAAAAAAAATCCTCATTAGCGTTACGGGTTAGGATGAATTAAATAGAGGAGATCCAGAAAATAAAGATCAGCCAACAGGAGAGAATCATACTGGCAGGTGGACCCAGTCTGTCCAGAAAGTTACAACCATTCATCTATCAGCCATATACTTGTCATGTAACAGATATTTTCTAAAAAATGCCTAATGGCAMACTGATTTTTACCACTGAGCCTAGAGCATAGATACTAATGTGTTTGCATCAACAGCTATCAGGTTTATAAATCTGCGATAAAGTGAAATTAATAATGAATTTTTGCAGCAGAGATTGTTTTGCTTTTAGCCTYGCCGTTTCTATTTTACTCATTCGAGGCTTCTGCACATTTCTATCAACAGGTTGTCCCCGGGAACTCACCGTAGCTTCGTTGCAAACGCCACACTTCACCACATGCTGGTGCGTCTTGCCCTCCACCGAGATGAGGCTCTGACACACCCTGCAGCTGATAACGGGTGCATTCCCACTCTCCGGGGAGGTGAGAGGGGACAACGGCGGAGGGTCCTCTCCTAGGAGCACAGAGGGCTGACTGGAGCTGGGAAAGGGGGGGAAGCCTGAACGGGACGGAGAGAAAATAATACAGAATATGACAGGAGCGAAGTGACAAATGTGGAATTGTTTAGGGTCACAAGGGGGGCAACGGTTTGGAGAAAAAGACTCAATTCTCATGGCAAATAACCTATTAAAGCAAACAAGTTAATAAGATTTGGTGTGGAGCTCCGCAGAAAGGAGCTTTATAAGAAAAACACTCGTGGAATGCAGATCAGGGTTGGTTTCAACATGAGAGTCTCAGTATTTGAGTTAAACCACAACGTGTGGGACAGCTTAATCTACAAATCTTTATCCACATGAAAAGCTGTCTGCTCTGCTGCTTGTGCTTAGGGAGGGCTGTGTGAGGGGGAAACACAGAACTGAAGCTAATCTCTCAAGCAATTTAACGCGATCTTATCACTGGTCGCATCTCTTGCAGCATCCCTCGCAGCATCCGTAGTGACTTTCTTTCCAACATATGTCAATCAAATCAAGTGCTTCGGATGCCAAACCTTATACTTGTCTAACCTGTTRCAGCACTAAGCACAAATACACACTAAAAGCATATAGTTTGATAATACTGACAGCTGCGTAAGCAAAGCCTTTAGTTTTGTCGGGCGCTAATAGCTAATTCTACGGCTGCTAGCATTAGCACGTTAGCATAGCTAAGCTTCAACTAATGTGGTGCTGCTAAATTTCCCAACTGGGTGTGTTTATGAGTAAATATCAAACGTATTTACATAATATTCTGCTGAGGTACACCCAAAACACGCTGACATCATGCCCCCGACACAGCGGAGCTAGCAGGCTAAAGAGAGTGTCCAGTCAGTGGAGGCTAGCTAGCTCAGGCTGGGGTCGGATCGGGATGAGAGAGAGACTCCAGCATTGATGGTACTCACTCTGGGGTTTGTTGGGCACGCCGTACGGCCCCGAGCCGGGAGAAAGTCCGCCGTTACCGCTGCCGAGAGCGCCGTCTCCCAAATCCGACAGCAACGGGGACCTCTCGCCGTCCGCCATACCGAGAGAGAGAGAGGCGTAGGAGGAGGGAGAGAGGAGCGGTTTGCAGACCGACACCGTTGTTGTATTGTTGTGTCGGAAACGAAGGGGTGGAGTCACGTGACCACACCACCCATCAACCGGCTGCTGCGGTAACTGTGCCCCGCGGGGGGGTGCCGCACTAATGCTCCCTTAAGTGAAAACATTAGATATGATATTATCATGTTTGTGCTTGTAGTCTGCAGAAAACTGAAACATGAATTACTGCCCAACCCAGAAGATAAACCAGCGCTGGGTCTAAATAACATGATAAAAAAATCAGTTTCAACTTTCATCCTCAGGCTTTTAAATGAGGCTGCATGATGCAAATAATGTGCAACTTGTTACAATCTATTTATTTAGGCTGAAAAAAAAAAACACTGCACAAACCAGGATATTCCAATGAGATACAGTATAATCAAAAACTTAGGTTATAGGGTCTCTTTACAAAACAATTCAGAGAAAAGCAAAAACAAAAAATGCAGCATGATGAATTCGCAAGGAATGCTTTCTGATCTATCAACGCTTCATGTAACTTTTATTTTAACCAGTGGCGTCACTAGGCCTATTTTAGGGGGGCTGGAGCAAGACAAAGCATGAACTTTAAACAGTTTTGTGTCATACGGCTTGTTTTTATCTCTCTCACTGCATGTTAATAAAGTCCATGGGTCTCTTCATCGGTAGCGTCACCTCCAGTTCCTCCTGCTCACTAAAGAAGCGTGCCTTGCCCTCTTGACTGTGAACGGAGTGAGGCAAATGGAGGCCCAGTTTGCTGAGGACAGGATAAAAGGCACGTTAACCAGACAAGGAGGGCACATGAAGTGTTTCAGAAGGATGTTAAGAGCTGAAAGGAACAGAAATCAAAGCTCAGKTCACAATAAGAATATTTGATCAAAGTGTAACGTCTGGAGGGCTGAGGAGCTGCTCTGTCATTAAATTAGCAAATATGAAAAAATTAAAAGCTTTTTCAGAGTTTTTCTCTTACTATTTTGTCGTCCGCAGGTCAAGGAACGTCTCTTTTACATCCAAGAAGACATCTGTTGCTTTTGTCTCTGGTAGCTTTATTTTCACCTGAGAAGATTGAAACTTTTGTTGGTGTTTTTGCAAAAGCCTAAGACTTTATGATCTGGTGTTTCCCAAATTTGGGGTCGGATTGGGTCCCAAAACATCAAGGTGGGGTCCTGAAAAGATTTTCATTAATCACATATTTTGCCTTAGTTGTTACAAAGGAGTGAGGTTAGTATATTTAAAATGGATAAATGTAGTATTAGAAATATTGTTACTAAGCCCATGTTTTGTGTGGGTCAAAAGCTGAAAAGTTTGGGAACCAGTGCACTTTGGTTCCCAAAGTTGGGCTTGGGACCCAATTATGGGTCATGAAGCACCTTGGATAATCTCCAGAAATCAGTTTAAAGAGTAATAAATCAATTGCTGATGTAATATTTTCCCTAATTATTACAAAAACAGAAAATAAGTCTAAAAAAGTATTTATATTTGTGTACAAGCTGTTTAGATTGTCAAAAAGCCTGTGTTTTTAAGGTTATTAATGAAGTTTGTGTACTCAGATTAGTAATATTTGGGGTCACAAGTTTTTGCCATGAATATTTTGTGGGTCAGAAGATAAAAAGTTTGGGAACCACCGATCTAGCCTCAAACACCTGAAAGTACAAAAATACCGTGTGATGTTTGTTAAATTACCAGCATGGCCTCGCAGCACATTGACGATGGGTCCTTCCTGCTCAAACCCAAGAACAGATCCTCAGGTTTCACGCTCTGCTTCAGGATAATTTCATATCTGCACACAGACAATAAATGCACCTCATAGACCAAGAATAAAAAAATAATGACTTTTTTGTCCCTTTGTTTTTAGCTCAGTGAGGGCCTGCCTTCATTTCAGTTCAGACTGTGTTTGTCTTACTCAGGCTGTGGTCGTGGGTCTGTCAGATCTTCATACTGGGAGCCTTCAGCCACCTCTTCCTCACTCCAGATGTCTTTGCTGCTCCTCTTTGAGTCGGCGCTGGACACTGAGAGTAAATGTGCTTCATCAAAATGGTGCTTCATTGTTAAGCAAACATTTACTGGAGAAACAGTCACCTTCTGCGTCATGTTTGGGTGGGTGACCGATGTGTCCAGGACCCATTTGTGCACAGGCGCTGACACTCTGCTGAAATGCAAGAATTCAAATATAGCAGCTTTTATCTCACTAAAACAAGCCAAGCACACAAAATAAAGCTGCTTTAATATTCATACACTGTCCTATGTGTGTGTAAATCTCACTTTCCAGTCTTCATCCTCTTCCTCCTCCTGTTGTTTGGATAACAGTTCAGACAGAGCCTCAAGGTTCAGGACCGATGACCCTCCAGCACACTCCATTCAGAAAACTTCACAATTACACTGAGGTTGAAAAATAAACTGCAGCAGGTGCAAATGAGATGTCTATGAAAGGTTACAGCCTGAAGACAAACGGCTAGCTAGCGTTAGCAGAACTGCTGCTGTGGGTTTGTTTCCCTCTCCATGGAGACGAGGAGGCGTTCTGGCTGTCATGGCAACGATGACGTCGAAAAGAAAATACGGAAGTTGGCAGCTGATTTACTGAAGTTTAGCTACAAAACGTGCTATCACGAGTGTAATAAACAATAATAAAAAAACACTTTGTTTGATTAATCAAACAAACACACAAATAAATAAATAAATAAATTACAGTGTAGCCAACCTATTTAAAGGTAAACTTGCCATATATGCTCCAAAAGGGAAAACTATAAATTTAGTTGCCTTAAATTTAAATATTATAAATTAATATGCAGAAAGCAATACTTCAGTAGGTAAAACTATAAGTATTTTACCAATAAAATTACTTTGGTAAAAGTTAAAGTCTCCTTTAGGATAAAGGTCTTAAAGTATCTGATATATTTTTGTACTTAAGTATTAAAAGTAAAAGTATTGGTTTAAAATGAGCAGTAATATTTTCTGTAAAAACATTAGGAGGTGATCTCCCTCCGAAAAAAAAAATGCAGAAATGACTACAGTATATCGTATTAAAATAATTTCTGTTCAATTTAGGATGCACTAGTCCAGCTGTTTCAGTTTATATACATATATCAAGGCTGCACAAAGCTTTTCCCCAAAATGAAAATCTATCTGAGGGCTGCGGCCAAATGGAAGAAGATAATTCATGAAATACAAATACTTCTTAAGTACAGTCCTTTTATTTTAATGTTTATGTCCTGCTGGAGTGTGACATGATCTGTTTGTGTACAAACTAATAAATTTTATATATTTATACTTCTCATTCAACCACAATTAAATTCACTCTATCTAGGAGGCACARTTTATATGGATAGTATTTATTTATTTTTTTACAATAACAAGCTGGGATGAAAACAAGCAAAAATTAAATAAAAGTAACGATTTTGTACTTCTTGCCTTTTTTCATGTAAAAAGTAAAGTACAGATTACTGTGTGAAAATAAGAAGTACAAGTAAAAAGTAGGCCGAAAAATAATTACTCAAGTAAAGTACATACATCTAAAGATTCTACCTAAGTACAGTAACAAAGTATTTGTACTTAATTACTTTACAACTCTGTTAATACGTTATTATAATAAAATAAAAGCAGCGACTTTCGTGATTTAGAGGCGGCGTCTTGAGGCGTGTCCCTTTACGGCCACCGTAGTAAATGAATGGCTTTTAGAGGAATCGGTCAAGGTGACAGTCAGCCAGCCATGCCGGGAGCTCCGCGTCTGCAGCCGTTCGCCGTCTTCGCGGCCGAACCGGCCGGTGACGGAGAACAAAAGGCCGCGACGTCGTTAAACCTGGACGAACTGTCCGTGTACGCCGCTCCGCAGCAGAACCTTCGACATGCGGAGCTCGAAGCGGGTCAGGTGGAGGAGCGTGTCGCCACCCTCAGGAAGCTAGCGGAGCCGTACACGTCTTGGTGTCAGGGCGCGTACGGACAAATCAAACCCAAAGTTCAGAACGTCGTCCAGTTCGGGAATGACACCTACGGCTACCTGCAGAACCCTCCCAAGGACTTTTACCCTCGGGCGGGAATCATCGGCTTCGCGGGAGTCCTCGGATTGTTTCTCGCCAGAGGCTCCAGGGTGAAGAAACTCCTGTACCCGGCGGGCTTCGTGGCCGTGGCGGCCTCCCTGTACTACCCGGAGCAGGCGGCCGCCGTCGCCAAGTCAACCGGAGACTCCGTTTACGAGTTCGCGGTGCAGGGCTACGCTTCAGTGGAAAAGATCCTGAAGTCCCAAAGCAAAGACAGAAACAAACCGGAAAATAAACCGTGAAGATGTCGGTTTGACTTCCTGACAGCTGAGCAATAATCTGCAGCTTATTCCCTGTTGATAAACAGGCTTTACCAGTGCCCTCTCTATGCACCAAGTTTAACTTGTTACTCAGGCCAGAACTTGACTGTATTTCCTCTGATCTGAATGTATATTTATGTAGGAGAGAATCTGTTTTAGAATAAAACTTGAGATTTGAACGATCTTGTTTGCAGCTCTTTGAGAAATGGATCCCAGATCAAGTGAAGTAAAATATGTTAAAAGTTTGGGTTAACTTATCTTGCAGTGTAAGTTTCAGACTTTGAGTAAGTTTAATGTTAAATTATACAATCATTAATCATCATTAGTTATTTGCGAGAAACTTTTCAATTTGTATACACATTATTGACTGTAGGGGTCACCCCGAGTGAAGAAACAAGATTTACTGCCTCGGAGAGGCAGTAAATCTTGTTTTACAGGAACTCTGTCACAAACTGAACTCCAGTTAGGCCATGACAGGTCATTCTAACCGTGGAAGAGAACCCCTCAGTTCTCTTAATCAGATAATGGACAGAACAATCTCTTCTGTTCGTGATTCATTTGTTGTTTAAGAATGTTTATGCATTTGTTAAATCATGACAATGAATGTCACAGGAAAAGTGGAACCACTTCTTTTCTTTTATCGTGCCTTAAGGATTAATAATCGTATAAAAAAATCACAGAGAATCTGATTATGTTTTCATGTAAATCACTGTTTTTATTTTACTGTGAACACAGTAATATAACTGGATTTTTCCTGAGAAAATCTTTCATTTATCTGGACTAACAGAACGGTTCAGAACTGATTATAAAACAGAAATGTTAATCATCATTAAATTTTTTGCAGTGATTTCTCGGTCTATCAGAAGAAAGCTGAAAAGAGGTTATATGCTGTTGAACAACCACAGAATTTTAACCTTGGGCTGGCACCGGCTGGCAAATCTTTATCTTCCTTTCTCTGACTCATCTCCAAGCCTGAGGGCGGAACCAAAGTTTATCCGTTTCTTTTACTAACCCGGACGGCTTTGAGCGACACACTCTTCTTCCTGATTCCAACCTAGGAARACAGCTGGGATTCTCTCCGGAGAAACCTGTTTGGCTTAAAGTCTGATCCCATGAGCTAATTAGGGAAGACTTCACAGCCAGGGACCCGGCACGCCTGTCGGTGGTCTCAACCTGAGGCTGAGCCTCATGAGTGTGTTTTTAACTCCCGAGGGGAGATTTTATTTTGTAAAGAGGAACCGGATACGGCTTGAATTTTTCTGGCTTGGACTGAAACAGACGAAAGTTACCTGGAAAAACACCTGTTTGCCAATGAAGCGAGCCGACATCAGTTCCCTGACTGATCAGAGGCGAGCCAGCTCCTGCCCCGAGGGTGCCTTAAGA